CCCAGGATAAGGGAGCACCGGTGGGTGGGGGCTGCCTTCCCGACTCGCATGGGATGCCACAAGTGCAACTGAGCCACCGCGGGACCTGGAGTTGCCCCCCAAGCCACCCCTCCAGCTAGTCCCATCCGCACCTGGCAGCTCGGACTGGGCACCCAGCAAGCGGGGCAGAGGCGGCCGCACCCCAAACCACAGGTGGCAACAGCAGGGTGGTGACATTTTTCTGTTCAGTGCTGGTGGCACCCTGTGCTGACGGTGTCCCAGGGAACCCCGGGGAAGATCCCTGCTGTGATGTGGAGCCACGGGCGCGCAGGGCCCCCGGCAGCACCTTTCTCCCTATAGATCAAGCCGCCGCCCCAGGCAAAGCTGTGTCACCCCGTGTCGTTGTCCCCTTCTCAACAGCGCTGCTTGGCTCAGAAGGGGTGCCACCATGGGGGGCAGGACCGGAGCGGTGTGGGGGACACCTGGCAGCTTTAGGAGGTGGCGGTGACCCTTGCTGGCCCCTCCTGAGCTGAGCGGTGAGGAGGAAGAGGGTACAGCAAGGGGACCAACGCAGCTCGTCACAGGATGAAGGCAGCACGAGTTGGACAGCACAGACAGGACAATGCCGGCGTCTTTTTTACACATCTGCTGGTCCAAACTGGGCAATAAACACGGTCCTCCCCCTCCTCAGCTGCTGCCTGTGCTGCAGGGCAGGCACACATCGCCGTCACCCACCCTGGAGCAGGCAGAGACCTGCGCGAGCACCCGGCTGTGCAGGCAGGCAGTGGTGTCCCTTGCACGCCAGCCCTGCCGCGCCTGTCTTGAGCCCTGGAGACCATAGCCCGGCTCCACAATGCCAAATACTGGCGGGTGGCACTTTTGGGAGTGCCCTCTAGAGCATCACTGGCTGCGTGCAATGATCCGACGGCACGTCTGTAACCCTGCAGCCCGTGGGACACGTTCCTGGTGGCCTCGGGGACCTCCTGAGCTGCAGGCATGAGACCACAGCCCCGTACCGGTGGGGTCCGGCTGATGCCAGGCGAACAGGTTGTGCTGGCAGCGCCACTCACCTGTAGTTGGTGCTTTTGATGGGGGCCCATGTGTAGGTCCTGAATACCTCGTCGATGTATTGCTGTGGGTCAGAGGGAGCCAGTCAGGCCGCTGCAGTGCTGGGACCCTGCTGGCGCGGTGGCACAGGACACCAGCTCCAAGCCTTGTGCCGGACATGGTCCCTCACTCCCTGCCACTGG